GCGACTTTTACACTATATCGTCAGACAAGGACGCATGGTCATATAAATATATATATATACTTCTTTTCCCCCCTCCGAAAGTTCATTAACCAGTAAATAATTCTTTTTAATTAAACTAACATATAGTACAGGAAATCACTTTAATTATTATTATCATTATATTATTTTTATAATAATAATAATAGTATTAAAAATTAAAAACATTTAGTATTAATATTGTTATTTTGTAAAATTAATGTTATTATTCATTACACACGAGAGGAAAAGTTATCGATAATTTTAGGAGTGACCATATTATATATAATAATTATTGTACTATTCTATATATGCACTCAGAGAAAAAATTTCTTTGATTTAAAGAAACCAATTTCTTTGACTTATGTTTTCTTTCATTCAAAATAAAAGTTTCTTTGTATCAAAGAAATTTGTTCATTAAATTAAAGAAATTCTAACATTGATATATATAGGGACAAAGAAACGCATTTATTTGAATTAAATAATAAATATTTCTTTGAAACAAAAATAATTTTTTTTTTAATCAAAAAATAATTTGTTTGAAACAAATAAATCGCATTCTCTAAATCTGAATTAGTAAAAATGCGTTTACTAATTTGAATTATAGTGACTCACTTTTTGCTTTAGAATTAGTTAAATTTTACTAATTGGGAGTTACTAATAAATTAGTAAAATTTGACTAATTCTAAAGCAAAAAGTGAGTCACTAATTTAAATTAGTAAAGAGCACAGAAAGAAAGTTAATATCAAATTTAATAAAAGTATTTTACAATTGTATATGGGACAAAATGCGACAAAGCGAAGTTTTAAGCTCATCAGAAATACTAAACTTAAAAAAAACTTATATGATAATAACTTTCTTTCCGTATAGATAAAAATTTAAAAATTTACTATTGTAAATTTCAAAATTTATGATAGTAAATTTTTGAATTTTTAATAATTAAATTTTACAATATATAAAACAGGTCATGTAATTACAAATGTCATGTCAAAAAAATAAATCCTTCTCCTTTATGCGTTTTACAATATTCCCTGAAAAATTATCGGGTTTTTTTTTAATTATCGATATATATATATATATATATATATATATATATATATAGTCGCACTCTAGGCGTAAATTATTGATAATTCTTCCACCTGCGCGGATATTTATGAAAAACATTTTTAAGATAATGAAAAAATCTACTCGAACTGATAGTGAAATGTTCCCTTTGCTAATACACAAATATCCGCATATTGAGTGTGTGTGTGCAAGTGTCCAATTAGAACTTTCTATCCAGATGGCGCCACGTTCCGCACTCAAGTGTATACGTATTTCCCCTATATATATATATATATATATATAACTGAGAGATGTGTCTAAATCTGATTTAAAAAATTAATGATTTGTATAATGCTCTAACATTTTTTTTTATCATCTTCACACAAAGAAATTAATAAAAAAAGAAAATAATTATTATTTATATTGAATAAAATGACGATGTTATTTTGTGTCATTTCAAATTATTCATCGTTATTAAAGGATTTGAAAACAAAAATTAATTTAAAAAAAGATAATTCGTTGTTATTATTAAAGGACTTTAAAAAAATTCACAATATTTTCTGTTTTTCTCGTCGACTACTATATGTATATATATATATTTTTTTATAAATCCTCACTGGACTTTTAAATACGATGGCTCTTTGTAAAAACAAATAATCCATCCATTTGCACATACGAATCTATTCACACAGTTTTTTTTGTATATATATGTATGTTTCAATATATATGTATATGAGCATATATATATATTAATAGCGTGCGTAATCGGTTCATGTACTACTAAAATGTCAAAAAAATGCGTATGTGTAAAAAATTCCTTTTTTTTTAAATTGGAAAATAATAAATATAACAATTCACATATAGTGACAGTTTATTTTTTGCTTTTAATATATAAAATTTTTTTTTAAAAATGGAACTGTGAATATGTGGTTTTGTTATTTTAAAGGAATATTTATAGTAAATTATAATTTACGTAGTTAATTTAAAAGTATCAAATTGATATAGAAATTTTCGGATCATTTTTTAATAGCACAATTTTTTTGTGAAAAAATTTCCGTTCTTTTTCTGTTTCGTCCCTGTCCGAAAATTTTGGAAAATTTTTTTAAAGTGATACTATCAACGAAAACGCACTTGCACCACTGAAAAAATTATATTCTATAAGTTTAAGAATATCTTCTTGGCGCCTATTTAAATATATTTGCCATATGCATTTTATTCTTATAGTTATAGAATATAATATTCATAAAAAAAAACACTTCTTAAATTAAAAAATATTCTACACACGACAAAGGAAATATTATCTTAATTTAAAAAGTGTTGCTTATTTTAAGAATATTATATAGGTATTCTATAAATGTAAAAATAAAATTCATGGGAAATATTCTCAAACAGGCGCGAAGAAGATATTCTTAAATTTAGAATATAATTTTTTCAGTGTACGAAATTCGCATATGATTCTCAAATGACAAAATTTTAAAATGTTTTGTCCGAAAAAAAACCGTAGTATATAATTATACTGACAACTGTAATAAATTACAATATATTGCGTTATAAAGTTAAAACGTTCTGTCTGACTAAAATTTTCTTTTACTACTTATAATATATTTATAAGTTATAATAAGAAAGTGGCGCGAGTTGGACTATATATATATATATATATATATATATATATATGCATATATAATCCACTTTTTATGTATATTCTCTAAATTTGAATTAGTAAAAAATTTTAACATAATGAATCAGTGACTAACTTTTTGATTTTGAATTATTTAAATTTTACTAATTTGTTAGTAATACAAGTTTTTTTCTACTATATTATAATTATATAATTCAAAAGCAAAAAGTGTACTAATTCAAAGTATAGTTAAAATTTTTACTACTTTAGATATATTTTATAACAATTTGAACAGTTTTGTCTGGCCGAAACGGGGTCTTTTATACTATACTGATACAAAAAAATTGCAAGAATTTTTGAGCGAAAAAACGAAATTCTAGATTTAAGAATATATATCTTCTTGGCGTTTATTTAAGAATATTTTCCATGCATTTTATTCTTAAAGTTAGAATAAAATATATACTCTCACAGAAAATTAAAAGGCATTAAAATATAAACTGCAACGATTCTCATTTTAATCCAATTTTGCTTATTTTAATCCATTTTGGTATTAAAATAAGCAAAATTGGATTAAAATAATAAGCGTTGCAGCTTATTTTAATGCCTTTTAATTTTCTGTGCGCTTAAAATATGTATATATAAGAATTCTTAAATTAAGATATATATTATAATTCAAAAACGAATTTTTTCTTATTTTAAGAGTATATTTTTTATTCTATGAACAAAATTGGGGAAATATTCTTATGCGGTCATGTTAAAGTGCGCGCGGATGCAATTTTTCCATTGAATAGGCGCCTAGAGGATATTTTTTTTAAAATGTCGTTTTTTGTATATTCTTATAAATTAAAAATTTCGTTTTTGGTGCACCAATAATAATACTCTGTAAATCTTAATCATAGTCACTTTTGACTAATTTAACTGCACTGATTCCTTTATTAAATGAATTATAGTAACAGTAAATGACTAATTTTTAGTAAAAACTAACTAATTCATTATAGTTAATCTATTTTTTAGGTTATTTCACATGACTAAAATAGTAGATTTATGTCTACCAATTATTTTAATATTCCATTTTCATCACATGAAAAGTTATATTATAATTTTTAAAAATAATTAGTAAAATTTGATTGTTAAACTAGTTATTTTCTACTTAAAATTAGTTATTTATTTACTAATTGAAATAGGGCCGATTCGTTCACGGTTTTACTGTATTATAATTAGTACTCTCTATAAATCTGAATTAGTAAAATTTTACTAATTATTAGTAACTTTTACTAACAATTAGTAAAATTTAACTAATACTAAAGCAAAAAGTGAGTCACTAATTTCAATTAGTCAACATTTTTACTAATTCAGACTTAGCGAGAATATGTTTTCTACTAATTCAGATTTAGAGAGTATCGGAAAAAAATCTATCTGGAACAGCGATATATATTTCTCTAGATTAACGAAAACTTTCGCTATTTTAGTGAAACATATCGCGCTTCCAGTGAAACTTCATATGAAGATTTTTTTTCCCTGTATACTCTCTAAATCTGAATTAGTCAAAAAATTTTAACTAATTTGAATTAATGACTCACTTTTTGCTTTGAAATCACAGAAAATTTTACCAATTCCAAAGCAAAAAGTGTCTTATTACTAATTCAAATTACTTATTAAAATTTCTACCAATTCAAAGGAGAGATAAAATTTTTTAAATGTTTCCAAAATACCAATTTCTGTTGAAATTAATTTAAAAAAAAAAAGAATCATATATGTCTAAAAAACGTTCTTGTAATATATATATACTCAAAGTGTCGGGGAGTATCGATAAAGAAGCTCCTTTGGTCCATTGGCGTTGGGGGCAGCAGCAGGTTGATGGATACCGTCTTCTCATGAGAAAATCCATGTGGTAGGGATACGATGACAAAGTCTTGTGGTAGTGGGGGTGTGGGGGGATGGCCATCTCGAAGGCGTGTGGGAGAGGGAAGGGGGAGGGGGGGGGGGTAAGTGAGTATCTGTATGGCACGACTCTTTACGACGATCCTAGGTGGCACCAAGAGAGTATAGTAGTGCAGAGAGAGAGAGAGAGAGAGAGAGAGAGAGAGAGAGAGAGAGAGAACAAGGATGAAAAAGAGAATGTGTGTGCGTGACAGAGAATGACCCTCCCCCCCTCCCTCTCGTCGTGTGTAAAGGAAAAAGAGAGAATGTGAGACAGCTCCGCGCGGACGTGGGAGAGAAGAGACTCGGTTATTTTCAATTGGAGTGGGGGGTCAAATCAACACACATACACATATATATATATATATATATGTATAACTTCTCTCTCTTTTGTGTGTTGCAGCGCTCGCGCGACTGTCAAGCCTCCGTGGAGGCGGCGTTGGTGGGGATGTCGCCTCCAGCCCACGAGTCACTGGTGGGGAGGATAAAAGCGCCGGCGGGAGGGTAAGGCAAGCAGCCGGTGGCATTGGTGGTGGGGAGCCAACTGATGTCACGGAGAAGAAGGAGAGGCCACCGGCTTCAGAGACTGTCGAGCCGACGGCCGCGTTTGACGTTGCATCTCTCGTTCTCTACGGCTCGCGCGCTTTACGCACACCGCTTAAGAATTTACTCGATAAGTTGTTCAACCAATTGCCCCACACACAAGTTACGGGACTACTAGCCGCCTTTGGCTGGACTCACGAGGATTATTCTCGAGGATACATACTGCAGGTGAGATTCCTTTTTTTTTTTTTTTAAATTTTTTTTCCCCCAACTTTTTCCTTTCTGTCTGTCCAATCATTTCTGTAACACTTTTTAAATCACTAATTTCTTTAGAAACTTCTATTTTCATTTTTTGTAACTTTCATATAAAATTTCGTTTACTAATTATACTAACAAGAGTCAGGATTCGTTTATGAAAGGGACCAATAGTGTTGTGTTATTCGCGAGTGAAGATTAGGGGAGAAATTTTAGTGACATGACATGATAATGGAAAGAGTGTTTTCAAAAGTGAATTTTGTGCAACGAAGGGATTTAAATTCCCCCACATGAGAATCCGGATGTTGACATTAAGAAGAGGAAAAGAGTAAGCGACGGATGGTAGATTTCTTCTTTTTGAAGACACATATATATTCATAGTTGGGATTTATCACCCGACGGTTTGGATTTGGATTGTCATAATTCTGCAAGTGCAAAAGAATTTTTGTTTCTTTCTTCACTGTTTTGAATCTGGAAACTACTTTTTTACTATATACAAAATTATGTGTGCAATTGTTGGGAATTTACATATACATCGTCATCTTAATAGTTATCAAGATTAAAAACTGGTTGGTATAGTCGTCGAATGAATAAGAAGACAAATGTCGAGGAAAAAACAACATTTTCAAGATATATTGTAGGAATTGTAAGACGAATTATGTATATCATAATTTAGTAGCTGATTGGAAATAAGAGGGAACAATTATTACCAAAGGAAAAATCTATACTGATGGTGATCCAAATTGGGGTCCAAGTTAGAAAAATTGTGTGCGTGTTTGTCAATTTCAGATAGTAGTGAAAGTGTTTACAAAAAGTTGCAGATTATGAACAGATCGGTAAGTTGCCACAATTTTTTTCAAATGATCGATATTTGAAGTATTATGGAAATATGGCGAAACTTCAGAATTGGTTTTGATGTCACTAATTAAAATTCACTTTTACTCCTGGTAATTTTTCGCCTAATTGTTACACCGATTGAAATTGAGGGAAATTTTAACTCATCCAGATGATACTTTAATCCTTATTGTCACCAATAGTGAAATTTACAAAAACTTAGAATCATTCAAGTGGCTTTTCTTCTATTGTCATAATTGAAATTAGCAGAAATTGTAAATCCTATAGTGACTTCCCTTGTATTGTCACCAACGGAAATTGGCAGAAATTTCAAAAATGACTTTTCCCTTTTGTCACCAAATGCAATTGGCAGAAATTTTAACATGACTTTGAAAGTGAATTAACACTTAAGTAACTTAAGTGAAATTAGCAGATTAATTAAGTTTGGATCACCCAGAAGTTTTCTCAAAAGCAGATTATGATTGCCTTAAGTTTCATTGAAAACAAAACCCCCAAAGTTTTGGATAATTCGCGAGTGATGACCAAACCCTACGGAGCAAATAATAAGTGCGTTCTCTTTTATCATTTCCATCGGAATAAGTTACGGAATATCATCAACAAGTGATAACACAGAATTGGGAACAATAAATTTGAAATTCGATGACAAAACTACCTATAAAATACAAAATTTAGTGATAAAGTGATGTCAAATTCCAATAGTTATTGCATGAAGATAGTGTATTCGGATCATCATAAAAACTATGGCATGTCAATGGAGATTGGATGTCGTCGCATCCTCGAAGGATCAAAGCGAATTTGCCGAGGATTCTCATGCCCTTTGAAGACTTTGCACTTCGATCCTTAGGACGGAGGATATAGTGAACGTGCGCGCCGAGGAACATTAGAAAACGGGGAGTATATCCATGTAAACTGAATTGCGCTGACGTTAGCGTGAAATTAAGCGTATGAAAAACCGGTTTTCTTGGTACATATACTGTACTACTACCTGCCGGTTGGAATTTATCATCAAGATATAATATTTCGCCAGTTTTCTATCATCTAAAAACGCAAAGAGTCGAAAAATATCGTTCACGACCCTGACGATAAGGACACAATTATGATAAACCCAATGAAGAAAGATACATCAGTAATAAAAATTGTGTTACACACAACTCTCCTACAAAACTGCAATTTTTAATACCAAAATCGTATTTCGTGGAAGATACCGGAAGAGGAAATTGGTCCCTTTATAATGATTGCGAAAAATAGTGCTGCGCGTTTTATATATATATATATGTAGAGGAATCACACAAGAGAAGGTGAAAAACCAGTTTCGCACGAGAGTCAGAGCGGAATTCAGAGATTTTACACGCGGCAAAGTGGCCATTTATATTGCAAGAGTTGGTCCATCCAAGAAGAAGAAGAAGAAGAAGCGGATGGAAGTATAAAAGAGAGTCGCGCATTTCCCTGCTCCCCAATGGAGAAAGAGAGAAAAAGATTTACGAGCGAACGTATCGACTGTTATACGCTCGTTTTGCGCTCTGCTCTCTGTATACGCGCGTCACGAATCGACGGTGCTTCCAGCATTGCGCGATAAAACCCCAAGGAATTTTGAATAGGATTCCTTTCTGCTTTTTCGCACATTGAAGAGAACCTAATAACGGATCCAGAGCAAGCCAAAGATGAAGATAAAAATACAATTCAGTTCCGGGAGAATTCTTGAAAAATTATTATATCCAAATTGCATGAGAACTTTCTTCTTTCTGTATATATATATAGTAACATGGTGACTAATCCTATAAATTTATCAAAAGTAAGCCATTTTTTGCAACTGTTACCACTTTCTGCAATCATCTCATTATAGCACAAAATTTCTTCTTTCTTTTGGAAATTAGATCATAAAACAAAAGGTATACGGTACATTTTAGGTACTAAATTGGTTTTTATTTTGATACCTAAAATCGGTACTTTCTTCTTATAGTGTTTTTCTATTTTAATTTTGATGCTATTTTTAAAAATGCGTGAAATTATGATAAATGCGTTGTTTACGTTACTGATACTAATTAGGGTGAAAAAAAGTGTTTTTTAATCAATTCTCAAAGTACGCGCGCCTTTAAGATAGAGCGAACATTTGAGAAATAAAAAACGTGTTTTATATGTAAATGCGCGTGTCTCGGGTCTTTTATCAGCCAGTTACGTTTTTCAAGAGATTATAAGCCCGCGGCTATTAAAATTTATAATGCATCAATATATTTAAAATTGATTCTTCACAGAGATTCGCGAAAAGGAACCAAATTCTCATTTGGAAAAGCGCAAAAAAACAGTAATCAGACGACGCGACTGAAGAAAACAGCAAAAAAAAAAAAAAAAAACAAGTATACTCAACGGATAATAAAATTTAACGATTTAAACGCGCACATTGCTATTACGGGGATAATAAATCTTTATGACCGCGCGCGGTTACCGGAAAGAAACGGAAAATTGTTCTTGTAAAAATGACATTGGAGAATTAAATGCCTTTCCCAGTGACGCGCGCACTCTGAGGAGAAAAAAAAGAATAAAATACCCTCGTTTTATCCTATATGTATACGATTACCTAAAACGCGGAAAAAGATCATCTAAAATTACGGAAGGTTATTTTCGTTTCTCATTTTCGCTCCGCTTGGTATACATACTTCCGTTTCCGAGGCCCATTGATAATTTATTCAAAATTCGTTTTTAGTTTTTTAAAAAATCAGTTTTTGTAAAATTAGAATTTTTTTAAAATGAATTTTTATATTTGTGAGATTATTCCGTTTGTAATGAGGGAATCATATATATAAAGGGAATAAATGAAATATACAATATGTATATAAGAAGGAAGACCGCATGACGGATAAAAAAAAAAGAAGGGAAAGAGAGGACGAGCGGTGGTTGCAATCCAATTTAAAGGCGGATATCCAAGTAAGATCTTCACGATTTCTACACACGAATAAGACAGAACTAGCGAGCGTAAAATCATATGCAATGTCCAGTCACGGGTGGCACCTTCGATTGCCTCTCTTTCTCGCGTTGAGGGGAAAACGCGCTCTCTCAACAGTCGCACACACACCGTCACATGAAACCACCAGTTGGCGCCACTAACTGGAACTTTCATACTAAATACAACTTTTTTGGAAAAAGTAATTTTTTCTTAATTTTTTACCGATATTGTATTACCGCAAAAAATCATTTTTCTTAGAATTGCGTTTTGAAATTAAAAAACAAATTCAGTTTTTAAATTCCAAGAGTGAATTTTAAAAATTTATTCTCTTTTTTCTTATTAAAAATCTTTAAAAACGCCCGCTTCTTGCACAGAAACTCCCGAGATGCGCACAAAGATGTTCATGAGTCAATTGATTCACCCGACGGCAAACTTCATCTTAACGATAAACATTTAAGTGGATGATTTTATCTCTAATTGGATGATCGCAACATATAATTCTGACAGATTTGATCAAAGGAAGCTTCACTCCTAATAATGACGATAACAATTTTAGAATAAGTCTTAGGTAATCTGAATATTATTTTTATAACTATATAAACGCTTATATAAAATTAAAATCAAAACTGGATTAAGATAATATTCCCTGATTTCGAAAAAAAAAAAATTATTCTATTTTCATCACGAAGATTGAATTTCACTTTATGCGCAAATTATACCATATAATTATTGTTTTTCATTAAAGAAAATAATTTTTGACTTTTAAAATCTTTCTATTTGGCGAAACAAAGTTGAAGGTATATATAATTTTTTTTTACGCAGCCATACAGCGTGCGACCCGAATTCCATATCTCGAGGAGAGCCTCTCTTGTCGCGCGTGACGAATATGCGCTGCCGTTTTCTGAAAGGAACCTCATTCGCGTGCGAGATTGAAATTCAAGTCCCACGGTACGGTAGTCCTCTTGCATTCTCAGACTTGGGTCGTTTAAGTTCCTCCACTATATATATATATATATATATATGCACACCTTTACGTAACTATGGCGTTTAGCTGTTTCGCGGAACTCTTCTGCCTGCGCGAATCATTCAGGGTGTGCGCGTCACGCACCTCCACACCCGATCAATCCAAATCTCAAAAGAATAACAAAAAAAAAAAAACACTATGGGAAAGTCAATCCTTTCATATTATTTCTCTAACAAAAGAAATAGTATTCATTCTATAATTTAATATATAGTAGAAAAAAATTGTTCTCTTTTGAATATATTGGAAATTTCGTGTCCTATTGAAAAAATTAGCCAATCATCTAGAAATAGTTCTAAACGGAAATCATAATGGGATTATAAGAGTTTCCGTTTCAAAATACACACGCGCACGAGCTAAAATCGTGTGCGGTCGCTTCTATACTTATATATATACGTTAAAGCAATATACAATAAAGATACACGAGACGAAAAAGCGTCGCGGCGCAAGGCGTCCTGCGTTACATCGCGAGTCAGGCCTGGAATGTGTGTAAATAAACAAAAGCAAGAAAGTAAAGGGAAAAGAGACTTGAAGCTCGAAATTTATAAAGGACCTCACGTCATATGCCTTCAACGAAAATTTTCCCAAAGCAATAAATTCAATTTATTTACATTACACTGAGACATCAAAATAAAGAATGGGATCTAAATACAACTCTTAGAAAACGAGTTAGTATTCCAAATACCAAGAAGCATATAACACATTATACTTGCGCGACTTTGTAGTTTCCCGTCTCACTTATATTTTACATATATATAACTCCTTAAATTACCCATTTCCCGTTTCATTGTCTTTTCTAATCTTACAAAGACTATTAAAAATTATGTCCGGCAAGTTTCATTGAATAATTATTTCGTCATAAATAATTGAAATTCTTTAATAAAAATGAAAATAATACCCGATACAGATGGCATAAGCACTTTACTTAAAATAATTAATAAATGTTTTTTTCCATTTTTCTGATTACAGGACTCGCAGAACGGCCCGGTGCTGGACCGATGGAGTATTTGCTCGGCTGAAGAGGAACCGCTGATCGTTCAGCAGTTCCTCAAGTTCGCCGAGACGCGTCCGTTCGTGCATCCCCTGCTACTGGCCGCGGGAACGCCAGGTTCGGATGCTATGTCACCTAGCAGACGACCTTCGCCCCCGACGATGCCTCTAGCACACCTTCCACCGCCTCTTCATCTTCTTCATTGTGGTTTGCCACCAAGCTCAAGATTACCACATCCATTACCACCGCCACTGCCACCAGTGTCACATCACTCCATGTCACCAACAACCCCAAAGCATTATCCATCATCAGCTGGCAATCATCATGGACCAACGAGTACCGCCAGTTCACCACCACGACAACTAGAATCAAATTCACATCTTCCCTCGCCTCTAAATCGACTTCAAAATATGCAACCCTTCGATTTTCGAAAATTAGGCACACTAGGCCTACCTGCATTTCCCCTACCACCGCCACCATCCGAATCAATGATGCATCAATCACGAAAATCACGACATCAACACAGTCCACAGAGTCCAACTCAACTCACCTCGGCGTCACAATTAAGGCACTCTGTACCAGTTGCACCAGTTTCAACATCTGGACTCACCTACGGTCACTCCCTAGCTGTTGCTGTCTCATCCGGAGCATTACCACCCAGTTTTCCAGGACACTATCCCCTACTCAGCAAACCATCGGCAAACAGTACTGGTAGCGGTCTCAGTGGTTCCGGCCTAGACACACACAGTGGCGGTGAAAAGAGCAGTGAATTCGATTCCGATGACGACGAAGACGATGAGGAAAATTCTGGCAGCGCTCTAAATCTCAGTAGACGAGATTCTGGCTCAAAACACACGGTTCATCGAGTCTCATCCCTCTCATTGCAAGCGTCATCATTGGGAAGACCCTCAGGTATTCGAAAACCACATTCACCTGGTAAACGTCATCAATGGGGTGCTGCACACAACATGCCACCAAATCTTGGTACACCATTCATTAATCCAGCGACTGGCAAGAAACGAGTTCAGTGTAACGTGTGTTACAAGACATTTTGTGACAAGGGAGCATTGAAAATACACTTCAGTGCGGTTCATTTACGTGAAATGCATCAATGTACCGTAAAAGGTTGCAGCATGATGTTCAGTTCCCGAAGATCGAGAAATCGACACAGCGCCAATCCAAATCCAAAATTACATTCACCGCATTTAAGGAGAAAAATATCACCACACGATGGAAGATCATCAATGGCACACGCACTGGTACTACCACCACAAGTTGGCCTTCCCGTACCATCAAGTGGATTGAATCATTTATCCTTTGGATCCTTCCCTCTACTAACACCACCACCAGATCTCCGTTCACCGGCATCCCTCTGCGGTCTCGATTTCAAACATCTTGATTCATCATCAAATGTAAGATCCTACGAAGAAGCCTTACAGCAAAGAGTCTCGATAGCATCATCGAGTGCAAGTTTGGCATTTTCAACCACAACGGCAACGTCAACAATGTCAAAAGGTTCGACAAGTACAATAAGTATATCGGGTGTCTCGCCCTCTTCACAAACAGCCGGTATGATGGAAGACGATGACGACGATGACAATGATGACGGTGGAATTGTCGTTGTAGCCGAGGATGAGTGCAATTTACCCACAAGACTGTCCGACGACGATCAGCCCGCTGATTTTAGTCTAACCGGAAGAACAAAACTCTCATTGGGCGATAATCCCGATGAGGAATTAGTCAGTAATGCCGAAAGCAACGAAGACAATGACTCAATAAGCAGGTTCGATCAACACAATACCTTCTCAATAAATCCCCATACAATGAATTCAACCTTCCACAATAGAGGTGTTCGAAAAAGAAAATCCCAACATCCAACAAGATGTACAATTCCCGCCGAGGTACATTCCTCATCAACTGATGGCGATTCATCAAACGACGCCGTATTTCAAGATCAACCCGAGGACATGTCAATGTCACGTCTCGAGGCAGAGGAGAGAAAAAATTCCCCATCGCCAAGAAATTCAACGTCCTTTGATAATGAATCAAATTCACGTTCTCCGGAATTAACAAGAAATCGACGTGAATCAGATGACAATCATGATGAACCCAGGGATCTCAGTTCCAGAGCAAGCAGTGTCAGATCACCAAAACGACAAACCACATCACCCGAACCAAAGTATTCACCTAATTCCGAGGCTGTTTCACCACGACCATCAAGGGAGGAACGTAACGAGAATGATGACAATGGTGAACCAGAGGAAAAATTGCCAAAACTAATGCCGAAAGACGATGACGAGCCAATGGAAATCGAGGAGGATGAGGAGGTCGCAACAACGCTACGCAATCAAGAAGGTGAGCGTCCCGATGATGATCCCCCCCGTGTCCCGAGCTCGATCGACAGCCATCCAACCACTGCCGACGACCTCTCCCTCGACTCCTCGAATGCTTTGCGTCAACTCGAGTCCTTGTCGCAGGGTCACATCATGATGCCGTACACCACGGGAATGCAGGAGCAGCCATCGAGGTCTGGCCGAGTTTCTACCAGCCCCGTCAGCCTTACGATGCACCAGGATACAACACTGGACAACTCCTCTCATGGCTCACATTCATCAAGCGGCTCGCCCTCCCCAGTGGCCATGGATACGGACAATAGCCTCATCACCTATGCACGCTATGAGAATGGCGGCTTTGTCAGCACTCAGGAGGTGCCACTCGATCGGGAAAATCCACGTCGTTGCACCGCATGCGGCAAAGTTTTTCAAAATCATTTTGGGGTAAAGACACATTATCAAAATGTTCATCTAAAATTGATGCATCGTTGCAGCGTTGATGGTTGTAATGCAGCATTTCCATCAAAAAGATCTCGCGATCGTCATTCGGCAAATTTGAATCTACATCGAAAACTTTTATCCACATCAACGAGTCCTCCTTTAATTACCAATCCCACCACTACATTAACATCAAATCATTCAATTGAAGACTCCTTAAATCCTTTACTTCACAATGAATTTCTCGCTAGACTCTACGCTGACGCTGGTATCGGTGCACTGGGTACATTTCCCCTTAGTGGACTAACTGGACCATCGGCAATTGATCTTGCAGCGCGAATTCCACCACCCCATCCTCTACTTCTACCTCCTCATCTTGGTTTTCCAGGTCTCTCAACGTTCGCCAGTCATCTTGCCGGTCTCAATGGTCTCACCACACATCATCAATTAAATCTCCGTTCCAATTCATCATCGCCACCTCCCGACGATCAAAAACAAGAGGCCAATAAATGCACAATTCCAGGATGTAACAGAATCTTTGGTTCACGTGCTGTTCGCGATGCCCATTCACGTGATCCTCAAGCACATCGTGATCTACCAATTCTTTCGACCAGTGGTTCGTGACCACTTTTGTCCTATCGTGCCTTTGGCCGAGAAGACTACTCTTTGCTGTGATGCCAAAATTTTGTCGCCCGAATGGCTTAATTTTTTTTTCAAAAAAAAAAGCCACGTGTGCAATATCAAAAGTGTTAGCTATTTTCTTTATTTCGGGGGGACTAAAAAACAATGGACTGCACAGGGTGCTTAAAATCATATATGCTTTTATGTATACTGTGATCAGGAATGGATAAAGCAAGTATTTCCTAAGGAAAATTTGTTGCTTTTTTTAAAAAAAAAAAAAAAAAAAAGTGTTCAATAATAATTGTTGTAATATTCGATATCTAATCACCCATTTACCTTTTTGAGATTATTAGACGAAAAAAGAAAGGAAAGTATATGTAGCATAATATTCAATGTCTTATGTCCATTCCTGAATTTTGTGCAAATATTTATATATTTTGTGAGAAAAAAAAAGAAATTCTTCTCCCAAAAGTGAGCGGAAAAAAATAATTCTTTGTTTGAAACGATTTTTTCTTTCTTTTTGAATTAAATATTTTAAAACAAAGCGAAAAATGTCTACTACACTGAAAAAAATTGATTATTATCAAATAAATATATTTACTTGAATTAAATAATTTTTATTTGAATTAAATAAACTGTATTTGAACCAATAATTTCTGTATTTGAAACAAAATTCCATCTCAAATACTAATTACTTAATACAAATAAATATTTATTTGATACAAATACATACACAAAAAAAAAAAAAGAAAAAGTAATTTATACTACTTTCGGAGTAAAATGGGAACTGTCCGAAGTTTCTGCTCATCTCTGTCAACTTTTACTCCAAAAATAGTAAAATTCTCTATTTCTGTAGTAAATTTTACTATTTTCGTAGTAATTTTGACTATTTTTGGAGTAAATTTTACTATTTTTGAAGTAAAAGTTGCCAGAGATGCGCAGAAACTTTAGACAGTTTCCATTTTACTCCGAAAGTAGTATAAATTACTTTTTCTTTTTTTCCGTGTATTTATTTTTGATACAAATAAACATTTATTTAAATAGTCATGTAACCGATTATTTGAATCAAATAATTTTTTTTTCAGTGTCGGCACCAAATATTTTAATTCCCAAAACTAAAAAAAATGTAAATTTTTTCAAGAAAATTATTAGGAAATTCTTTTTTTCTAAAAATAATAAATAATAAATAATTTTTAAAATTAAAAATTAGAAAAAAATTTAAAAAAGAGAAAATTTCCTCTCAAACGAAGAATTTTTTTAAATAGCAAACCCCCACCTCTTTTCTCCCTCTCCCGAAGAAAAAGAAAATCAAATTTCGCGACTTGATTTCGTGACTCCCTTCGTTTTGTTTATAGCGCGTCGTGATAAGAAAAAGAGAGAGAGGAAAAAAGAAAAGGCAAAAAAAGAGATATATATAAATATATATATGTATATGAGAGAAAGAAGATTGCGATAATTGCGACGCGTCGTTACTTTCCCCGCATCGGGTCACGACTTGCGCGCGGTAAATTTATCGTCGTTGTGATAACGTACGTTATAGTTAAAAAAAAAATAATAATAATAAATAATAAATATGTTAATATTTAATCCTTCTATAAAGAAAAAATCAATTAGCACTGCTCTTGTATATATATATAAAATTACCTAATCGATGTATCCGCGTATTATAAAAATAATAAGACTAGCCTGGACATATATAATGTTCATTGCATATTTTGTAAAAAAAAAAAAAAAAAAAAAATTTCAACGACACAATATACTCGTTAAGAAGTCGAATTTTTTTTGTTTACATTTTAAAGAATGTTGATAAAAAAAAAAAAAAGAAACTGCTCAACTTTGGATTTAGAAAATGATTTCTCAACGATGAGTTTGCTCCAGATGAAAATTTTCAATTGTGCTCAAAAAAATTGTTACGTGTTTATTTATTTTCATGGCCTTAAAAATAGTTTTTTTTTCAAAAAGAAACTTGCATTTTTAGAATACTAAAAAATTTGAATTTTAAGCACAAAAAAAAATTTTTCATCATGAAATTCCTGATGTAAATATATTTTATCATTTCGTGGTCCCAAGTCGTGCAGTTTCTATATTAGAACAAAAGGAGAAAAAAAAAAAGAAAGATCGACCAGTGAATCAAAGTGACGGACGAGCGTCTCACGCTATATATATAGATAAATGAGAATAGATAGATTTTATTTATTGTTTCCTAGCAAGCCTATTGCAACACGATACTCTTGATTATAAAAAAAAGAAAAAAAAAAAAACAGCGGCCAGTAGCGGGCACTGCCGCGCGGAACTTCCTCCCCCTTTCTAAATAGAATTAAATCGTAAACTTTGTGGTAGCACGTACTATATACATATATATAAAAAAAAACAAATCGGACACAAAATTTTCATTTCGGTGCTATGTATTTTATTACTATTATTATTATTATTATAATTATTATTATTATTTATTGTCTATTGAATCACCCTGAGCCAAGCTTGTTAATGCTAAATATATCTATATATATATATATAAAAATTAAGAATTCTTTCGAAGAATTTCTTAATCACTTGAATATTGTATTTAATATTATATATATATATATTTCCGTTTAACTTTATGTTTATGGAATTACGCTTTATAATTTGTATCAAATTTTCACAATTTTTTTTTTTTTTTTTTTTTTTTAAACGTGTTTACCTGAGTTTTACGTTAATTTTTTGTGTAATCGAAACCCGGTTATTGAAAAAAAATCGACTTCACACACACTACTTACTATAAATGTTAAGGAGAACGAACGAAAAAAAAACTCTACAATTGTAATTATGTATAAAAATTGAAACGCTACGATGTGTATATTATATAGAACAATTATAAAACAACAAAAAGAAAAAAAAAAAAAAAAAACACTCATCATTATGAAAATAAATATCTATATGAAAAATTATTCTTATTTGTTATTTTATTTCTCTTATATATACTTTTCGTCTGTTAATTAAAATGATAGATTAATTTAAAGCAAAAAATTTCTCTAAATTTGAATTATAGTGAAAATTAGCTATATACTAATTCACGTTAGTAAGAATTTTTTTACTAATTTTTAGTAAAACATTACTATTTCATTTAAATAAGTAAGTTTTATACATAAAGTTTTATCACACACCCAGAGAAATGTTTTAATTGAACCAAATAGAAAACAAATTTACCTGGAACAGCGAAAAGTTTCACTATAGTAGCAAAAGTTTTATACTTGTTTCAGTTAAATCTTTCACTATTCTAGTGAAACTTATCGCTGTTTTAGCTATAATTATTTTTTTCCATGTATTTTTGAGTTAAAAATAAACGTATATTTGTCCCAGAGCCTATATATACTACAGCCCGCATTTATTTGGTGTAAATAAAAATTTTTATTTAAATCAAATAAAAATTTATTTAAATCAAATAAATATTTATTTGGCTCTGAGACAAATATATCATTTTTCTGGGTATAAAAAGTAACTAAACATTAGTAAAAATTATTCTTATTAATTTAAATTATTAGCTTACTTTTCACTAACTCAAATTTAAAGAGAGATTATTTCTATAATTTTTGGATATTTCTATATGTGAAAATTTTTTTCCGATTATTTTGAAAAGTATGCAACCAAAGTTATTTAAGAAGACAATTTTGATTCAAGGTCACGACGAAATAAATCGAAAGAACACGCCTACGTTCGACCCAAGACCTGCCCTCATTTTTATAAAGATCCATCCATATAGCGCGCGAGTCTTTTGGAAATGAGAAATATAACCTCTCATTTATCAGTGATCTCCTTTGGGGCTTAAATTTGAATGATATATACGCCTACAAAAAAAATAATAAAAAAAATAATATATATATATATATATATATATATATATATATTTCGCGAAAGCTAACAACACTTAAATTCTTCTGCAAACAAACAAAAAGTATATAAAAGCAAAACACTGACATCGGTCGAGACGACGATAATTAGGAGTGAATCTCGGTCCACGAGTAATTTGAGCCAGGATACTTAATTACACGTAAGTTGCGGGCTCTCTTTCTCTATATACTCTCGTCAGTTTCTTTCCAATTCAGTTCTTTCGCTTATACCCTTATATTGCCAGGGCCTTAATCGCCCAAAGAGATTAGATTAGCACCTTCGATTTCTCCGACACCTCTATATATACCTATATATATATATAGTAAACCTCTCCTCTACTCGCCGCAAAGAATATATAATAACAGGTGTTACCCTTAAAATCGAATTCAGTGAGTTTCTTGTACTTTTATATTGATAACGAATTATTAAAAAAATATTAAAGGGAAAAATAAAATTGTACGCACAGGATCACAAAAAAAAAAAAAAAATGGAACTTTTTTCCACGGCAAAGCGGAATATGATTTTCTAACGTATATTTTTATCCGGTGTGGACACGAATTTGAAATACGATTTGTTCCATCAGAGGTTAGGATTTTTTTCTAACCTCAAAAAACATGTCTAATCAAACAAGTAACTCAACATTTTTGTGAGCTTGCACAAAAAAAAATGTTGGACTCATATTTGTTGCATCTCAAAATGAATTCTTGTTAAATGACATAGAACGTGGCGACATCTGCCTGTCTCATTTTTGATGCGTTTCAAATTGAGTATAAATTTTGAACTCAATTTGAGATTACGTTTTTTCTGTGTGCGTTCCAGAGGTTTTTGGGGTCGCTGATTACGAATCGAATCTCTGATTTTCAAAATTCAAAATGGCGGATGCAATATGGCGGACTATTAAAAAAAAATATTAGATTTTCATGCAAATCTGTAGTATCTTACCTTTTCTAATGATGAGACGAATCTCGGCCTACTAATGGCGCACTAACAGCTGAAGTATTTCCTTTGATGCAGCCTATCCCTATAAAATAAAAAATAATTAAAAATTAGTATAATGATTCCCTTTATAATTGATAACTTTTTTGCAAAAATTGATGACCCTCACCATATAGAGCCCTCTATTTTAAATAGGGCGAAAAATAGGTCAATTTCTACAAGGGCATTTACAGTGTAAATAGATATAATCTGATGCACAGTTTCGTCTCTATAGGATTAATAATAATTGCGGTCACGCCCCCTCCTATTTTACATTAATAACGAATATGTATTTTAACTGAGAACACACCAACTCATTAGTAAAGGTACTACAGAAAAAGCAATTAATAGAATATGCAAATATGCTATATACACATATATTTATACTTGTAAGTTGAAAATTATAAATTTACTCTCTAAATCTGAATTAGTAAGAATGTTTACTAATTTGAATTAGTCACTCACTTTTTGCTTCTCAATTAGTTAAATTTTACTAATTGTTAGTAAAAGTTACTAATAATTTTGAGGTAAAAGTTCTTTTTTTCTGTGTGAGGGGTCATCCATAAATTACGTTACGCTTGAAGGGGAGGGGGGGTCAAGAATTTGCAACATTCAATAGAAAAAATGGCGCTTATCTATGCAAAATGTTCAACATGGGGGAGGGGGGGAGTCGAAAATGGTGAAAAATAGTGCAACGTTATTTATGGATGGCCCCTGATAATTTTAACATATTCTAGTTTTTGTTAAATTATAATTATTTACTCTCTAAATCTGAATTAGTAAAAATGTTTACTAATTTGAATTAGTGACTCACATTTTGCTTCTGAATTAGTTAAATTTTACTAATTGTTAGTAAAAGTTACTAATAATTAAATTTTACTAATTGTTAGTAAAAGTTACTAATAATTAAATTTTACTAATTGTTAGTAAAAGTTACTAATAATTAGTAAAATTTTACTAATTCAGAAGCAAAAAGTGAGTCACTAATTCAAATTAGTAAACATTTTTACTAATTCAGATTTAGAGAGTAAATAATTATACTTTAATAAAAACTAGAATTTATTAAAATTATCACACAGAAAAAAAGAACTTTTACCTCAAAAATTAACTATACAACAAATTTTATTCTATTTGGGCGAGCGCTACACCGTCTATGTATATATGAATTAGCATTCAAATTACCCACAACAAAATTTATCCATGGATAAATTTTGTTGTGGATAATTTTGATCAATGATAATTCACAAAGATGGTGGCGCGCTCCCAACTAGAATAAAATTTGTTGTAGTTAATTTTTATGCCTATTTTGGGGTAAAAGTAAATTTTGTTGCGGGTAATTTTAATCAATGCGCGCTAATTCACAAATAGTGAAGTGACGCGCTCAAATAGGATAAAATTTGTTGCAGTTAATTTTTATACCAATTTTGGGGTAAAAGTTCTTTTTTTTCGTATGCAGCGTTTTTTCTTTGATTATATGTTTTTGATGTTTCTGCTTAATAGCAATACTGCAAAAATAGAAGTATATCTTATAATTTAAGATGTTTTGGTAGTCATTTTTATGATATTTTGGTATAGCCACTTTTTAGTTATTTTAAATATCTTAGTTTCAGATATTAATAGTGTAACTTTGCCATAAAGAGTTGCATATATTTTTGATGAAAAAATTTTTGAGGTTAACTATAGGCTGTTATGTAAAATACTCTATATACGTACGTATCTTGTATTTTAGTAACTTACAATTCTGACGTATATATCTTACGAATCTTTCCAAAGGAACTTACATTTTAAGATGGAAAAAACATTTTAATTTCTGATTAAACTTATAAAGTATCTTAAAGGGATTAATAAAATACTTTACAAAACATATATATCTTATTCTAAAATAGAAGTTATAATTTTTCCATCTTACATCTTATTGTGAGATACCAAATAAATCACCTATTTTTGCAGTGAATATTTTAATATTAATTTTGGTTTTAGGATATCCTTTAGAGATAACATTTGGTCTGGGGGAAATTAGGATACATCCCTAAGATGTCCTACAGGGATGTTGGTGGACTTCCTATGGAAATCCTAATTCCTCCGGACAAAATGATATCCCTAGCACGTCAGTAGGAAATCCAGATGCTATTATAGGGTGTTGAGCTTTTATTCGTATCGAATAACATTACACATATAGACTCCTTTTAAATCTTAAACCTAAAATGACTGAAAATATCAGCCGTTTTATTAAAATTATGTTGTGAAGGATAAAATTTATTTACTCTTAAGTAAACGGTTTTAGTTAAAAAAAAAAAATTAGCTTCACACTAATATCTCAAAATTTTAAAAGATTCTTCTCAGTTTTAAAGGATTGCGCACTACTGTATTACACTGTAAAAAATTTAGAGAGTTAACAGCACTATAGGAGTTGGGAGTTCGATTTTTCAAGTTAAAAATCAACTCGAAAAAGGAGTTAACCAAGAGTGGAAGGGAGTTTAGGTTCGGGAGTTCAGTATCAACTCCCTTTTGAGTTATTTTATAATGGTGGATCATATTCTCCAACTCGTGTAAGGAGTTAAAGTTGAACTCCCTTTGCTTTAACTCCCCAATGGGTGGGACTTTTATAGTATCCCCTGGGGAGTTAAAATTCAACTCCTTTTTTTACAGTGATAAAATCTATAGCACTGATGTTAAAAAGTCCTATATACCCTTTTAGTATATACGTTTGAATCAAATAAAATGCGCCCCCTAAGGTATATACAATTCCATCTGTCTATTAAAATATTCCTTTTTAGGTATTGATGAAGTTAAAGAGATGAGCTTTAATATATCATTTGTTTTCAATGTACATCATCAGGAAAGAAATTATTCATTCTTTTTTTTCATACTTATACAATATTTTCTACAAGTTTGTAGACACAGTAAAGGCTACAAGCTCATGGATGTGAAACTTACATGAAAGATAAATGGATTTGTCGTGGCATCGACCTTAGCAAGATATCGAGAGTATATATATATATGTATATATATACGTATTTCGCGCCTAGAGCTCCACTACTAACTTGCGACTCTCGTCGTGCGCACGACAGGTGTAGCGTGGGAG